GGGCCCCGCGGCGACTCGGCGGCGCCGGAGCCTGCGGGAACCTTCGCGGGACGTGCCGCGGTACGGGCCGGGAGCGGGGCGCCGGGGGTCCCGCAAAAACGGGGGGCGGAACGACCGTGGGGGGGACCGGGCCGGGATGCGGGGAGCGGGTCGGGATGGAGCCTCGAGGTAGGACATGGGGACCGGGTCAGGATGGAGCCCCAGGGCAGGACATGGGGACCGCGTCGGGATGGAGTCTCAGGGTAGGACATGGGGACCGGGGCAGGATGGAGCCCCTGGGGCAGGATACAGGCACTGGGACAGGATGGAGCCCCAGGGTAGGACATGGGGACCAGGATGGGATGGACCCCTGGGGCAGGACACGGGGACTGGGGCAGGACGGAGCCCCGGGGTGAGGACAGGGCTGCAGGCTGAGCTGGGCAAGGCAGGGCCCAGCCCCGTGGGCTCCCCCGGCACCGTGGGGTCCCGACCTGGCTGGACAGTTTGGGGGCTCACTGCTCCAAGGGCGAGGTGCCAGGTGCGTTCCCAGGCGCGTTGCTATGGGGAGCTTTGGGAAGGGGCTCCCAATGGCTTTGAAGTTCATCCGTTGGACTACACCAAGTTCATGGCTCTCGCCCAGGTGAGCGCGGTCCCAGAGGTGCGGTTTATTTTGGAAGCTGGCTGGTTCACTCCAGATGAGCGTTTCCACCGGGGCTGAACGTGAACACGATGTGGTTTCAGTGATTCACTCCTACCTGGAGCCCTTCGTGCTTTAGTTTGAGGAACGCTTTAATGTGGCAAAGTCTGCACCACCCGCTAATGGGGTGTCCTCCCTGCCACCTGCCCAGGGCATGTCCCTGCACATCCCGGTGTCACTGCCAATGTCTGTGCCCCTGTGGTGGGCTGGAGTGGGGGACTAACTGGGATACTGGTCTGGCTGGGAGGTAACTTGGTGGAAAGCTGGGGAGAGGTGGGAGCGCACGTGGGGGAGTGAGTGGGAAGGTTTGTGTTGGATGCAAGAGCCAGGGCCGTGCCGGCAAGCCTCGGCGTGTGGTGAGCTGTGCCTTGACTCATTTATTCCATGGGATGAGGAAGTCTGAAAAATAAAAGCCCAAATAACTAACAAGCCAAATAAAACCCCATTGACAGCACCTTTCCTGGCAGCGGCTGTGCCCCTGGGAGCGCCCAGGCTGAGCCTGCCGGTCCTGACGCGAGCTTCCCGCCCCGGTCGCTGGCGGCAGCGCCGGGGTCCCAGCCCCACCTGCCCTTTCCCCTTGTCCCCTTGCTTCTGCCCTGCGTCTCCCCAGGCTGCAGCCCCACGAACACCCCCAGGGCTCCCTGCTGCCTGGCTGAGTCCCCCGGCCGATGTCCTCAGCTGTTTCCTATGGAAACCATGTACTTTGCCGGTGGCTCCCTGGCTCTGCCGTGGGCTCCAGCCTCATGGGACAGCCCGTGCCATGTTTGGGCTTTTCCCTAAAGCTGTGCTTGTCCGGGGCTGGGATTCCCAAAACAGCTCAGAGGGGTCAGGCTCTCTGTCCCCATGCAAAACCCACGAGGTCGGCGTGCTTGGCAATCCTCTATTCTTTATTGTCCAAGGACAAATCGGCTGTGAGAGGGCCCGTGTTTGCCTGGGGTCAGGGTGTGGGACCTGTGGGCTTTGGCAGGTGCTTGTGGAATTTCTTGCAGAGAGGGTGACGGCACGAAAGTCAGCAAGGAGGAGAAATTGTGTCGGCTCTGCCGCTGCCCCATGTCTCCCAGGGCTGCATCATCCCCACTGGGTGCTACCCGGGGCTGCACCATCCCTGCTGGGTGTCCCCCCGGGTGGCGGGGAGGAGGGGACCGCTGCCTGAGGTCCTCCTGCTGCTGCAGGACTTGTGGGCTGTTTGCAGCCCTCATTCCCTGGGTACACGGGAGCATCGTGGGCCTCCACCATGGGGCTACCATGGGCAGCTGTGGTTCACGCTGCCTAATTAGAAGCACGTTATCCAGCAGAGATCCCTGCCCGCCCCGAGAGGGCCCAGCCTGCCATTATGGCTTGTTGTACAAAGCTGCAGCCCGGCAGAAAATGATATGTTTCCCAGCTGCTTTTTCTGTCCTGGGACCCGCAGGGAGGGCTGAGCTCCCCAGAGGCAGGAGCTGGGCTGAGTCTTAACACTGATGTTTTTCATGGGTGTGCTTTCATGGAAAGCGGGGCTGGGGGACAACCCAGGGTCACTCACCTGCCTGCCCGTGCCCCTGCCAGCGCTGCCAGCCCAGAGGGACCTGGAGGGCAGGGCACGGCGGTGCCCGTGGCGTGGTGCAGTGCTTTGCTCTCCACACTGGTAGCGTGGCTCTCCTGCAATCCCATCTCCCTCTGGGCAACCTAAACCCGTAATTTCTTGTCCTAACCGCTGCTCCTGCCCTCCCGTGGGCTGCAGCCCCCCTGTGCCGCGTCCGTACCCGTCCTGGTGCCCAGTGTGGCCATGCCAGCGCTATATGTGCCCAGAGCCAGGTCCCACTGAGACCCCAGGGCTGCAGGAGCGGTGGGGCATTGGGGACCAGCCCTGTCCCGCTCCCAACCCTGCTGCGGAGGCAGCTTCCCGCTGCCTCCAGGCACTTCCCTGAGCACGGGGTGTATCCCAGGAATGTTTTCTTTCCTTGGGAGGCAGATCAGAGCACACAGGGTCTGCTCTGTGCCCTGTCCTGGGCTGCACCCAAGCCGACCGCAGCGGGGAGAGGCAGCGGGGCTGGGCTCGCCCTTGCCTATTACAGCTGAGCTTTGAAGCTGGCAGCGCCGCAGCCGGTGGGGCCTCTGCAGATGTGAGGGGTCCCCACAGCCAGGTAGGTGGGTGTTGAGGAGAGTGGGGGCAGGCAGGACCGGCCGGGAGACCCTGGGCTGTGGGGGGTCCTGCTGACCCCAACTGCTGCTGGGGCCGGTGTGGGACCTGCTCCTGTGCAGGGGCACGGTGCCCCATGGGAGAGGATGGGGAGGGACAGGGGTTATTTGGGGATGACGCTGGGTTTTCCTCTGCCAGGTCTCTTGCTCTTGTGGAAGTTGCTGGGGCTCGCAGCTACCCAGGCAGGCTGCTCGCACCCATCCCTCCGGCCAGGGAGCATGGCAGACGCCGAAGACCCCCCCCACGCCATTGGCGGCGATGCCGGCGAGGGCCCAGGGGATGACGGGTCCCTCCAGAATGACTCCTTCCCTCTCTCCTCGCTGGCCAACCTGTTCGAGAGCGAGGACACCCCGTCCCCCGCTGAGGCAGCCCGCAGTCCCCCCGGTGCTGGGGATGGAAAGCAAAACCTTCGCATGAAATTCCAAGGGGCCTTCCGGAAAGGTGCCCCAAAGCCCATGGAGCTGCTGGAGGCCACCATCTATGAGTCGGCTGTGGTCCCCGCGCCTAAGAAAGCCCCGATGGACTCCCTCTTCGACTATGGCACCTACCGCCACCACCCCAGCGAGAACAAGCGCTGGCGTAGGAGGGTCGCGGAGTGAGTACAGGGATGCCTGTGCACACCGGTGCCAGCAGGGAGTGATGGGGTGGGGGACACCCTGGGCGCGCTGGGTGCAACACCGTGGGTATGGGGGTGCCAGGCAGCTGGGGACGGGGACAGACCCCGCCATGGCTCTCTGAGTGGCACTTTGGGGTGCTTTGGGCAGAGGGTGCCATGCACACGGGGGGCAGCTCCCAGCCAGTCCCAGTGGCAGTGCTGGGCTGTGCCATGCCGTGCCGTGCTGTGGTGCGGGTCTGCAGCCCCATGGTGCCGTGGGTCCAGGATTGTGGCTCCCCTTCCCCCTTGCCGGCGCCATGAAAGAGTCTCTGTGCGCCCAGCCGCTCCCCTGGCCGGTGCGGACGTCTGGC